CTCTGCCCTGCTGTGCTGCATGCACTGCCAGAGTGGTTGGGACTGATCTCCATGGTAACCTCAGCCTTGCACTATCATAGCACAGCAGCTGATGTCTCCATGAAGACTGGCCCCAGCCATGCAGGCAGGGGCTGCTGGAAAATGTAGTTTGACTCCTGGATCCACTGTTTTGCCCACCCCTGCTATACTGGGTGCCTGGGTTTGTGTGCTACACACTGCAGCTGCTTGTGCCTCTTGCGGTATCAGTAGTGCAACTAAGACAGGGCAACCAGGGCATCAGTCCCAGGCACCAACTTGTGGGGGGCAGGGCCACAGAAAAATAATAGCTGCTATTGGCTGGCTGTACAGTTGGGAATTGTCGCTGCTCAGGGCAATAAGCTGCCCTATTACATTTCTGTATGGTGCACAAGCCATTGGTTGGCCTCCCCTGGCATATTCAATATGGATTTTCAGGGAGTTGAAAAAAGGCAGATCTCTGTTACATCACCTAACAAGAAGATCTAAACCTAGCATAGCAGTTACGTACTATAACTCACAATGAGGTATAACAATTAGCTTTAGGATAAGGGACTGGTTAAATATGTCCTTAATTTTCAACCTTATGATAAATGTAGGAACCTCCATAAAATAACTAGGCAAATTAATGGAAAAACTATGAATAGGTCAGTCTTAAAAGATACCTGATCAAAAGACTGAGATTATACAAATGATTAAAAGGCTGCTGTCTGTGTATATCCCAAATTGTCCAAAATGAACTTGCTTATGGTATCTGATTCTAGTTTTGTAAACCTCCTGAAATTTGTTTATGTACCATATTGCAACGTTAAAAAAGGTCTGCATTAATTTCACACTTTATATTCATTATTCCTGTTTCTTTTAGAGTCTAACAAGGCTGAACAGACCACAAATTCTGACTGATAACCAACATCCAGGGGCAACAGTAAAATGGAAAAAGAAGATGATTCTAGAAAAAGTGTTATTTGTAGCATGAGCATTTGTTAAAGGTCTTATTGCTAATAGAAAGGCCACCTGAATTATAATTCAAGTAATATTCAGTACAACTATAGCTTCCTTTCCTGTTCACAAACTGATATGGATACTGTCATCTATGCCAATATATTTCAGACCATAACATTTTCTGGTACTTCTAGGTTTGACTAGCTGCTATTCATACTGACAGCATGGTCAGCTCAGTTGCATACTACTGGTTTTGAGCCATGAATAGTTTACCAGAACTTTCTAAAACAGGAGAAATAATGTACAGCAGTTAAATAAATGACTGGAGATCACTACAACTTCAGTTACAACTTGCAGACAAATAAATATTTATCCTTAAATAGTCAAATCTTTCAAGATTTTAAAAAACTCTTAACAAATACTTATCATCGATTGAATAGTCAAACAATGAATAATATGACCCCAGAAAAAACACAAAATTCTTGTGCATAGTCATAAGACTTCCTAGCTTTTTTATGTTATAGTTCTTGTCCATTCATCCTTATTCTGCTAAGACTAATGACAAACTTGTCAGTTGTGCTTGTGATGTGGAGTTACTAAATGGTCAGGTACAATCTACTCCTTTTGTTGAAGCAAGATGTTGTTACATTCCAAAACTATTGAAATACATTCTTTTTGGTTTTAATATAACATTTATCATACTTTTACAATTACATTAAAAAATAAGCTAAAAATAACAGTTGTTTGAAAATTATGCATAATTACACTAGTTCCAAGAAGATAATAAAGGAAACACTGTTAATCCTGAACAAATTTCAGACTTTTCTAATAAATGAAAGAATCCTGAGACAGCAAAAATAATCCAAGAAAGATTCAATCTTATTCTAAAAAGCATTAGATCTCTATGACATCTAGTTCCATCCATTACACTGCACCTGGAAGAAATCAGAAGTTGGCATGGGGTAGAAGTTCTACATCTACATATATGTATGCCACAGCAAGGGATCAAGGGATCACTTGTCTGGATATAAGACATGGTCTTACCTCCTGGAACTATTTTACAAATCTTGAGCATCTCTTTTGAAACATAACTATATGTGGATGAAATACATTTATTCTTTCCCATCTGCTGGTTGTAGGCTGACCAAAGTCCATCTAAGTCAATGTGAGTCTACTTATTTCACTACATTTGGGATCAGGTTCTTGGTCTGAACCTTTGTTAATTTTGGCTGAGACTGTGCCTGGGGACTTTAAAGGCACTCATGTACTTTATGTAGAATGATGGAAATAATTCCACATGCCTCTCTACCTCACATATTCATTTAAACAGCTGCACTGTAAGTTTATTTTTTATTTTCTTAGACATCTTTATAATTAAATTTAAACACACACTTTCCAGGCAATGTTTAAATCAATGCAACTTAAAAAGAAAACTAAGAAATATTCTAAACCATCAAACGCTCTTGTAGTATGTTTCATATTCACTTATTTATTTAATGCATTAACATGAACACTTACTGTAAAAGACACTTGAAGTTTTCCAAGCAGTATAGAGAATTCTGTCACATATCTTCCATTAGAAACCCTTGCACTGCTATAGAAATCTCAGTGCAGGATATCTGTCCCTTAGCTGTTAGACTGCTCTTGATGCTAAGTGACTCCGTGGTGCAATAGCACAAAACATCTTTTTTTAGGTTCTCAGTAATGCTTGCCAAAAGCAGTATGACCAGTCTAAGGCTAGGCACGGATGTTACACTTATTGCACAATAAGTGTGCAGAAAATGTTCTACAGTCATGATCAAACAGAGGTTCATGGCACAAAGACCACTTTAAAAATTGCAGATCTCACTCTAAGTCAGGGGTGTCCAACCTTTTTGAATGTGGGGCTGGATCACGAACTTTTTATCACCCAGTGGGCCAGCGAGTCATATTCAAAGACCTCACAGGAAGTGGTATCACATCAGGAAGTGATGTCACGTGACCTTTGACACCAATGAAGTTGCAGGAAGTGACAATGAAATGGGTCTGGAAATGTGGTTTAAAATCCAAAATAAAAACAATATAAAAGCAAGAATGAAATAATACCAAACACTTGACTAAAATAAACACTTTCACTTCTACTCACTTCTCAATGAATGAAAGAAGCATAATGCAAGTCGACAGATCAAATGTCGAAAAGATATCAGCCAAAGTGGAAACTAATCAAAGCAACAAAATATGGGCATTTTTGAGAATAATCTTCAAGAAGATTTACTTTTATTGAACTAATAACTAGTTATGACTAAAGGTTACATAATAAATCCCTGGTTTTAAATGTTGACCATAATTTAAATAGCAACATCAGAAGGGCTTGTCAGCATCATCCAGTCTTGAAATAAATTGCCCTTTTCTACACAGAGATTGATGGCAACATGAAACTTGACTGCTAGGGAAGTCCATCCAAATATATGTGCTCCCTTCACACCTCCTTACTCATTCCCACAGGTGTTCCCAAAATCCCCACCCCCCCCCCCCACACACATGCTCCCTATACCCTTCCCTACATACACCCCCTATTCATCCCTACACCCACTCCCAGCCCCCCCACATCACTATGAATCTCCCCCACACACACTCCTTGTTGACCCTTTCACCCCAATACTGCCCTCACATATGGAACCCTGCACCCACACCCACC